TCGAATTTTATTTAATTAGTTTATAGTCCGTATATAATTTGTTTGGACTGCAAGTGCCAGGCTTAGAACTCGTGTCTAGTGGTCTAGACAAAGAAACTCTATCCATTGTTATGAACGGCGCAAAGAAAAAAAAATAGAACTCTATTGGGAAAAGCTACCAAGACTATCACAATCTTAAATGGTTTTAGGGATTTACAACCTAAAACGCTTCTAAGAATGCATAGAACAATCAAAAAATAACCTAAGAATTGTTACGGGATTATTGACCGGTCACTGTAGATTGAATATTCACTTAACAAATTTAGGAACTTAATCCAACTCAGACTGCAGATACTGTAGAGAAGATAAAGAAACTGCATACCATGTGCTTGGGGAATGCCCGGTACTGATGCACACGCGGAAGAAATAACTAGGATTCAAGATTAGGAATGTTAAGTTCTATACTGGTTTTCATTAAAGAAATCGTACTTGAAGAGACAGTTTTATCCGACTAAGAGACATAATAGATCTTTTAGATCGCAGTGCACTTACCCCTTTTTACAATAATCATCTTATAATAGCCAATGAAAGGGGAGATGGTGTAGAGTATTTAGAGCAAATTACAGGATTGAAGGACCCCTTGATAATGATAATTTTCAGATACATAAAACTATGCAGTTTGGATATATTTTTGCTGTAATATTTCAGTAATAATATTAACTACTTAAGAAGTACTATTAACTATGAAAAAAGTGAACTTAAAAGAGCTAGTTTATGTTTCTGAGCAGAGTGTATTTATAAAAGAAGAATGTTATTTTCTATATTTAAATATTAATATATATATGAAAATGTATAAAATAATCTGCAGTTAAATCTTATTATAATTAATTTAGTAAACTGCACAAACACAAAACAAAAACATTATTTAGAACATTCTTCTCCTTGGCATAATTTTGGCTAAGCCATTGAAATGATATAAATATATTCTTCTCTGAAAGTGTTCGCTAAATATTTGTTAATAAAAATAACATTATTGAATCCTAACGATTTTAAAATACAATTTAGTACTTTCCACTTATTACAAACCCGCTTAAAACGAGTTTTCGATTAAGTTGAATCAAGTCAAAAGGTAGGCAGCTATTATTATTATATATTTGTTTAATTTTCATTGCGACCTAAATCTCTATATTAGAGTCCCTTTCAACGCCCCCTATAAATTGTAGTATTGAACATAAATTATAGTTTTTCTTCATCTAATATGAGATATCTACCAAGCTACTTCTTTCATTTACGTTTCAGTGTCGAGCAGACTCTTCATACGTGTTTTGTGGTTTAATTCTCTTTCATACAAAATCTATAAGCTTCACTAGAGTAAGTTCCTGGTTTTGTAAAGTGATAAGGTAATTTAAAATACTCTGTCAAATTTTTCGTAATGATTCTTAATTTTTTTTTATTGGTTTGCATTCAATTTTTTTTTTAATGTATGTAATTTTTTTAAATTATAAAATTTGATAAATTTAATAATTTATCAAAAAATAAAATAAAAGTTAAATTAGAAAAAATATAAAAAACTCTATAAAATCAAAAATAAATTAAAAAAAAAAAACAAAAAAAAAAATTATATTAAAAAAAATTATATTTAATAATAAAATATTTATGATTTATCAATAAGTAAACTATTTTTTATTATTCTTAGGGGATTAACCCAATAACTGTACAAGTTTTAGTAACACGTTTACGCTTATCTATCAAATATTTCATATCACAATGAATTGCAAAAAGTTTTCTGAATTCTGCTTTCTCATTATGAGTAAAGTGATTTCTTCGTTCTGTCAAAGTTCGAAAACCGTACATAGGTACTCCAAGTATCCACTGACAATATTAAAATTAATATTAAATTTTATATGTCTTATGACTAGAAATCTACTTCGAATAGAAAAAGGGGTGAGAAATGTTGTATCACTTGGTATATAACAAAATCTCAGTTTTATCAGTATTGACGAAACGACAAGTTAGACATCAGGCCATTAAGATAAGCAAATGTTATCGCGAAACAAACTAAAAGACTAAAAACACAGACACAACAAATAGTTTCTGCAATGGCTTTAATGAATATTATTAAACAGACCTTTCAACTAAGAACATGTTTTTGGAAGTATTCTTGGGTTTTCTAACATTTTTATTAATATGGGACTTCATCCATAAGCGAAGAAAAAATAAAATTTTCAAAAATGCTGGCATAAATGGTCCAAAAGGTCTACCACTGTTTGGTAATGTTCTAAGTACAATTAATGAGAATACCGAGAGTAAGTAAAACAATTGAATGTCACACAAATCTTAAAGTAATAAAATTTTTTTTTAGCCATATATAACTTTAATAAATTAATGCGAAGCGAGTATGGAAAAATATGGAGATTATGGTTCTTTCATCATGATGGTATATTCGTGCAGGATCCTAAATTCTTTGAAAGCATACTCAGCAGTCAACAAGTTATATCAAAAAACAACTTATACAATCTGCTAATTCCCTGGCTTGGGGATGGTTTACTTCTAAGTACAGGATCTAAGTGGCATGCGAGAAGAAAGATTTTTACGCCAACTTTTCATTTTAAGATATTAGAGCAATTCGTTGAAATCTTCGATCAACAAAGTGCAGTTATGGCAAAAACTTTATATAAAAAAGCAGATGGTAAAACTGTGATAGATATGTTTCCAGTAGTATGTCTCACAGCACTAGATATAATAGCTGAAACTGCGATGGGTGTAAAAATCAACGCACAAATGAATCCAGATTTCCCTTATGCCAAAGCAGTCACAGAGTAAGCAATTATAGTATATATTCAACTTTACTTGCTATATTTACCAATCAATTTTTCTAGTGTTGCCCAAATTGTTGCTACACGTGTTATTAAAGGTAACCAACGTTTCGATATACCTTTCATGATTACTGCACCACATATAGCATACAGATTAAAGAAGCAAATAGCACTCATGCATGACTTTACGGATACGGTAATCAAGGATCGCAGAGTTGCATTGGAAAAATCAATTGCTGAAGGAAGCAATACACCATTAGGTAAGTTACAATATTTTAGCAATAAATACTTCGAATGCGTTGGATTGTTTGCTTTTCAAAAATTGTTTAATATTTTTTTAATATTGATATAAACGTTTAGATGTATTAGACGACGTCGGAGTTAAAAAGCGAATGGCTTTTCTGGACGTTTTACTACAATCAACAGTAGATGGCAAACCTTTATCAAATGCAGATATACGTGAGGAAGTAGATACATTTATGTTTGAAGGACATGACACCACTACAAGTGGCATATCACATACATGTTACCTTATAGCCAGACATCCAGAAATTCAGCAGAAACTTTTTGATGAAATACGACAAGTTATTGGTGATGATAAGAACAAAGCGATCACGATGAAAGATTTACAAGAACTCAAGTATTTAGACATTGTTATCAAAGAGAGTCTACGTTTATATCCACCAGTACCAATAATTGGGCGCATTACTGATAACGATGTTGTATTAGGTAAAATCATCATATTTAATTATTTTGGTCTTTTAATAATTGTAATTTCTACAATTTATTTTAGAGGGTAAATCTATTCCTGCAAACACAAATATAATTTTGTTACTTTATGCAGCTTTGAGAGATCCCGATTATTTCCCAAATCCGGATGAATTTATACCAGAACGTTTCCTTAATGAAAAAATTGATCCATTTGCAAATGTTCCTTTCAGTGCTGGTCCACGTAATTGCATTGGTCAAAAGTTCGCTTTATTGGAAATGAAGAGCACTATTAGTAAACTATTGCGCCATTTTGAACTTTTACCATTGGGTGCAGAAGTAAGACCAATGCAAAATCTGATTCTTCGTTCTGCAAGTGGTATTAATGTTGGACTTCGACCTCGGGTATACTCATAGGCTTAGAATCTATGTTTGTGAAAATAACTATATTTCAGGTTTTAAACCTGAAATCAATCTAATCAATAGCGTATTATCAATTGTGTTATATACTGTTTTTAAATTGTAAGAACACTCATAAATTAAAGCAATTTATTATGTTTGATATACTTTTTGTTTAAATGGCTTGTAATAAAAGAACCACTTAAATAAGCATTATCATTAGGTTTTGTATTTTTTAGCAAATATAATTTGTACTATAATTAAATAAAAATTTAATGTGTATTTGATAAATTTATTGTATAAATAAAGTGTTTTAAAACATTTCTTTACTTTAAATGTTTTCCTATGTACGAAATGTAACTAATTTCATCAGGCAATTGTTGTTGTAAACAATAATGTTCCCCGCAAAATAAAAATCACAAAACGCTGCTGTTTATACTTCTCACATAGTTTGCTTGAGATTTCCCATTAGATCAACTCGACTTTTGCGGATACCACTGAGGCAGCTTTGATGTGTTGTACGGTTTGACAAGCAGGCGTCACATACGTGCTCCTTATAGTTGTAATTCAGTGTAGAGCGTAACTTTTTTACTTTAACGAAACCGACTTTTTTCATCGTACATAGAATATTACAATAGTTCTAAGAAGAAAAGCATTGTACAATTTACTTTGGGTTATCATGACGAGAGAATGGGTGTAAATAACAATAGAATATGTGGTAGCGAAAAGCTTAATCACCAACGCAAAGTGCAGTGCCTTATCAAAATTACGCGAATTCTTGCCTCTAAAAAAAATGAGGCAAACACGGGAAGATAAACAATGATTCAGCATTTATTTTAACAGAGCAAAAGACAACTGATAGCGCGAATCATTAGAAATAAACAAATTCAATAATTGTAATGTAAACAATGACTCGGCATTTATAAACATTTAATCTAGATGAGTTAAAATAATGTTTGAAAATAATTTTAGTTTTGAGATTACCTACATTTTTTATTTAAAAATAGATCAGTGTAGTAATTTTTTGCAAAAAAAATTATTAATAAATTTATATGTATATTTAAATAACAAATAAAGTAACTTGACTTAAGAATTATTAATAGTTTATTCATTATAATCTATAATGAAAGAGAATGATATGTACATAACTTGCGCAGCAGAAACTTATAAAAAGTCTGACCACACAACAGCTGGGGTCCGGGTTGTTTAGTACACTTTATATAATATATATACGCATTTCAAAAATTATTACATTGAATTTATGCGAGTTCATTGAATTTATGCGAGTTCAAAGAATAATATACACGACCTTAGGATGTCATAAATACACACATGTAAGTTCAAATATTAGCACCGTTTATCATTACTAAAATATGGACAAGCTCAAAGAATAGCATATTTTTTAATAACTAATGTGCGGTACAAGGAACTATGATAATGAACAAATCTCTCAAGCACAAAACCTGAAGAGCCAAATAAATAGCTGCAAAGTAATAAATTTCCTAGAGCGAAACAAAGAATGTCATTATATGAAATAATCTAAAATGTACTGATTTGAACAGTATTTTTTTATTTCATTGTCCTATGGAACCTCTTTTGATTATAACATATTTCTTTGGGCACACTACAGCAGCGCCATATACGTTTCGTTCCGTTCCGTTCCATTTATCCTTGGCTATCCACATATTACAAGTTTCAAAAATAATGGCTAATTGATAGAATTCATATAAAGTTTATATAAAGTTTTAAATATAAAAGTGTACGTATAAATGTAATATAGGTTGTAGTAGGCAAAGTTCCCTAGTATATATATATAAAATTTAAAATATAAACCTCATGTAACATATAACATATAATTACTAGGGTTATCTAAGAGCTTATATCCTCTCATATTCCTATTCAAACAATGAGAACCATTCTAATGAAAATTAGAGATAACATTGGCGAAGGTGGTTGTTTAAAACGTAAGAAGATTCTTTCAAAGCAACTTTTTGATATTATAATATGGTGAGATACGATGCATATAAACTTTAGTTTTGTAATAGTTGATTGGAAAAAATAATTTGAACGATATATTTAGAACAAATAAGATAAACTAAAATATCGTAATTTATTACACGGCTAGGTCTCTCACTAAAAGGAGTCGGGGCAGAGTATTAAGTTCGGATTTAAATTATTCACATACTTGACTATAAATATAAATATCAGAACCAGAAAATAGTCTTGGTAGCAGAAAGACAAGCAGCGATCAAGGTATTTTTCTGCAAATATGATATTTATGTCTTGATAAGCTGAATACCACGCATTAAGCTAACACATATTGATTTTAAAAGACGAGTTGTTTTGATGCTTGTAGACAAGGAATCATTTATGGAGTTTCTTCTCATTCATTTTCGAAAAATATAGAAAATAATATTAAAGTGATACAATGAATTTGAACTCTTACTATCAATGTTGCTTATATGCACCTTTAACCTAACTCGTTACAGGATTGGAAGAAATTAAATATACGTAGAAACTAATCAATTATAACAGAATATTTTAGAAGGAACTTTATGTACGAAGCTGTAAATTTATTTTAATAGAGTTTGACGATTTTGCAGAGGATAGGAAGAGATTGTGAAGACATACTGGGAGTATGCTCACATACTGTAGTGATATACAAACAAAATAATCATTTGTGTGATCATTTAATATCGGGTGACGAATAAGATTTGCAAAATATAGCTGATTCAGTAATTGATTGGTAAAATAGGAAATAGAGAAACATTTTGAACTCAAGGAAAGGTATAATAAGGTTTTAAGGTCGTAATACAAGTTCTCTGAAAAAAATAATAATAACATGATAGCAAGATTAGAGAATTGTACTAAAAACCACGCAACAGTAATTAATATATTGCTCATATTTATCTATTAAATTTTTAAAATCATAATGAGTTGTGAAAAAATTTCCTGGATTATATGTTTTCTTTATGAAGAAAGGTAAATTTTTTAAACGATCAAAGTTTAAAAACAGTACATAGGTACGCTAAACATCCATTGTTGATATAGTTGCAAATATAAGAGCAACTGATATAAAAAATTTCATTTTTATCAGTTTGCACGCTACTACAAGCTTAACATCAGACCATTAAGATAAGCACATTTTATCGCGAAACAAACTAAAAGATTAACAGCATAAATACAAATAATTTGTTTTATTATTTCAACAAATATTATTTAACAGGTCTTTAAACTAAAAACATGTTTTTGGAATTATTTTTAGGTTTTCTAACATTTTTATTAATATGGGACTTCATCCATAAACGAAGAAAAAATAAGTTTTTTGAAAATGCGGGAATAACAGGGCCAAAAGGCCTACCGCTTTTTGGCAATGTTTTAAGCACAATTAATGAGAATACTGAGAGTAAGCAAAACAATTATATTTTACTCATAACAGAAACTTAAAAATTTTTTTCGTTTTAGCAATATTTGAATTCATTAAAGGAATGCGAAATGAATATGGCAAGATATGGAGAATGTGGTTCTTTCATCAGGAGGGTCTCTTTGTGCAAGATCCTAGATTTTTTGAAAGCATATTGAGCAGTCAACAAGTTATTTCCAAAAATAAATTATATAATCTAGTAGCTCCGTGGCTTGGTAATGGTTTACTATTGAGCACAGGAGCTAAATGGCATGCGAGAAGAAAGATTTTTACGCCGACTTTTCATTTTAAGATATTGGAACAATTCGTTGAAATTTTCGATCAACAAAGTGCAGTTATGGTAAAAACTTTATACGAAAAGGCTGATGGTAAAACTGTAATAAACATGTTTCCAGTAGCATGCCTCACTGCTCTAGATATAATAGCCGAAACCGCGATGGGTGTAAGGATCAATGCACAGATGAACCCAGATTTCCCTTATGCCAAGGCTGTCACAGAGTAAGGAAATATATTGCACATGCATTTTAACTTACTATACTTAGTTACCACAATTTTTTTAGAGTTGCTAATATTGTTGCTACACGCTTCATAAAAGGCAATCAACGCTTTGATATACCTTTCATGATTACTGCACCACATATAGCATACAGATTAAATAAGCATATAGCACTCATGCATAACTTTACGGATACGGTAATCAAGGATCGCAGAGTTGCATTGGAAAAATCAATTGCAGAAGGAAGCAATACACCATTAGGTAAGTTTGGAAGTTCTATCAATGTAATATAAGTGATGCATCAGGTGCATTGAATTACTTCAATCTTAAGAAGTTAATTAATATATATCTTTGTTTATATCAACGTTTAGATGTATCAGACGACATGGGAGTTAAAAAGCGAATGGCTTTTCTAGACGTTCTACTACAATCAACAGTGGATGGCAAACCTCTAACAAATGCTGATATACGTGAGGAAGTAGATACATTTATGTTCGAGGGACATGATACTACTACAAGTGGCATATCTTATACATGTTACCTTATAGCCAGACATCCAGAAATTCAACAGAAACTTTTTGATGAAATACGAGAAGTTATTGGTGATGATAAGAACAAACCTATCACAATGAAAGATCTACAGGAACTTAAGTATTTAGACATCGTCATCAAAGAAAGCCTACGTTTTTATCCACCAGTACCAATAATTGGGCGCATTACTGATAGTGACGTAGTAATAGGTAAGTTCAAATTAAATTATTTTATAAATTGTAAATAATTTTTAAAAAACAAATAAAAAATTTTAATAACTTATTTTAGATGGCAAATTGATACCTGCAAACACAAATATAATTTTGTTACTTTATGCAGCTTTGAGAGATCCGGATTATTTCTCAAATCCAGATAAATTTATACCAGAACGTTTTCTGAATGAAAAAATTGATCCGTTTGCAAATGTTCCTTTCAGCGCTGGTCCACGTAATTGTATTGGTCAGAAGTTCGCTTTATTGGAAATGAAGAGCACTATTAGTAAATTATTGCGCCATTTTGAACTTTTACCATTGGGTGCAGAAGTAAGACCAATGCAAAATTTGATTCTTCGTTCTGCGAGTGGTATTAATGTGGGACTTCGACCTAGGGTATATTCATAGTTTAAGAATGTATTGGGATTTATAATTGTGTGTAAATAGTTATATTTAATTTTTTAAATGTTATTCACAAGTCTATAGGAATTGGACTTTAGTTTTATGTAATCTATAAATT